AATAACTAATCTTCGGCGGCCATTTTCACACTAATTTTACCTCTGAAAACAGGTGACCCCCACCACCTTCTTTTGCATATATCTCGACTTGTATTCAAGATAAATGGATATTTTTTTCATCCAAATAAAGACAGGTGAACAAGCTTTAAGATGATACCAATAACTCTACATGCCCAAAAATTTACGAGAGCCTGATTCCACCATGATGCCTCACAAATGATCTTTTTCACAAACATTTTTAAATACAATCTTTTATCAATACCACGTAACATTTGTTTGTTAGTTAGTTTGTTTGTTTGTGTAAATAGAAGCACATTGGCACAATAACACCAACAGCCCTTTAATGTGCTTCCCGGGAAGCTGAGAATGTTTTGGAGTGTTCTATGGTCTGCTGGGGTAATAATATAGTGTAAAGTGCATAGAGCCTGCTGTTGAGCGGGGATATGCGCTATACAAATGCTGTCTATTACTATTATGATTAGTCCAGGGTGGAAAACCCACAAAAAGTAAGGCAGACAAAAACTGCAGAGTGAAAGAGAAGAAGTAAAACCTACCGGAGAAGCCCTTTAACTCACTTGAAGGCCTTTAGCACAACGAAAAAAGAAAACCCAAAACAAGACAACAAACCGAAACAAACAAAAAAATAACCCCCTCCCTCCAACCCCCCCCCCAAAAAAAAACCTCGAAAAAAAAACAACCCGGCCAGACAAACGGTGTGAAATAAGACCGTAATGGTCAACATAGCGTCGTTCTACTCAACATTCCAGTAAAAAAAAGACCCCTCAACCCCACACACAAAAAAGACTGTACGTGTGCACTCAATAACCGATCGTTGGCCCTACCTCTACAACACTTCATAGTCAGCGTGTGAGGGTTTTATGGCTCTATCTATCATGCATACAATATGACCACTGTAATTAAACGGCTTGAGACAGTTACTCAGGGCCACATTATTATAGGCAGACAGGGTCACCGACTAGGAAGTATTAATGTGAACAAGACAGAACCCAGTCTGAGGTGAGATGGGAAGACCGCGGTGTCGACGGATTGGACATACTCCCAGGAACGCAGAGGCAGCTGCATTACAAAGGAGGTGTTGGAATCAACGCCTGCTGTACAGATTATACAGTGGAATCAACGCCTGCTGTACAGATTATACAGTGGAATCAACGCCTGCTGTAGATTATACAGTGGAATCAACGCCTACTGTACAGATTATACAGTGGGCGTTGTCTGCAATCCATAGGGTAAAATAACAAGGTCACGTGGAAACAGGAAAAGCC